CGGCCCGTCGGAAGTGGTTTGGTGCCGTGATCAAACCGACCTTGTCTTCAGCAAAACCCGAAGGGGCCTTGGTTTGGGGTTTGGGGTTCTCGGTTCTTCACACTAAAACCTCTGCTTCCTCTCGTCTAGAACGAGGAGGAGCCTCCCCAGGCTGTGCGGCATCGGACCAGGCGCTGCGAGTTCACGGAAACGAGCCCAGAGACGCCACAGGTCAGGCCGCGGCGCCGGCCCTGGGCAACCACAGCAGGATTCACGCTGAGCTCCAAGGAGAGAGCGAGGCGGCTCAGCTCCCCACATAACCCTGTCAAATATATTACAAAACACTCTTTGAAAGGACCATCTGATAAAGGTCTAAATAAACCTTCTGACATCCTTTACCCTTGTGCTGATTGTGCTTTCCAGAGCTGTCTGCCGTGCTCAGGAGTCAGGTCTAATGTTACAACCACCCCGGTTTCAGACAGAGGGATGGTCTGGTGTTGGGTTTCTGCAGGAGAAGGTTAAACTGTCATCAGATTCTTAATGAGCCCTGAGATTTCTCTTTAAGCCTTCAGTTAATGGGAAATGATATCATCGGTGGGGGAGGGAGTCTTTCTGCTTTCTACCACCTCCAACCCTGACTGCCGTTTGATGAAGAACAAAACCCAGATGGAAAATGAGGGGAAGGCGAGGTTAAAGCAACACAGCAGGGGAAAGAGAGGAAACAACTGCAGACAGGTGGGCACAGAGGAGACCAGAGCGCCCCGGGCGCTGCGGGGCCGAGAGCAGGCTGACCCGACAGCTCTGAGGAGAAGGAGAGACGCCGCGCCAGGTCAGGGCTGCGTTAGGGATCCTGGGAACGGAGCCGAGGGGGAAGCTTGGGCCTTGAACTGCAGCAGTGTTAAAAAACTTGGGTTTGTTGCTACAAGCTTTTAGTGGGAGGTGGGACAGACGTGAGAGCTCTGGCAGGTGAGACTAGCCAAGCTTATGGGGAAAGAAGTTTTTTTGACTTAGCTGCTAGCCAAAGGGGAACTGCAACCGACTCAAAGAAGAGAGATCACATAAATGAGAGAGATCCTGCTCCTTTGGATAGCAGACTAGAAATTTCCTATCTGCTCTCACTGCCTGCAGGCAATGGCAGAGTCTGAAGCTGAATATGAGCACTGTGACTCCTGTCCCCTACCTTGCTTGAACCAAGGAGATGAACGTTTAGAGACCCTCTGGGGGCAGGAAGTCATCATCTTGGATCTCAGTCTCACTGGTTCCACAGAGGTGAGAATCCAAAGTGATCAATCCCACTCCCTGCCTGTGGAGGACTATGTCCAAATCAGACTACATGAAATGTAAAGACATATCATCAGTTTATTATTTTTCTTCTCCCTTCTTGCTTCGCACCCAAAATTAGAGAGCTGTACTTGTCCAGGGTTCTGCTTAAGGCCTTCATTTCTTTCTTCTCCCTTGCTTGCCAGCCAAAATTAGAGAGCTGTACTTGTCCAGGGTTCTGCTTAAGGCCTTCATTTCTAGGATACATGGAGGGGGAAAGTGATGCAATGCATCGAGTAAATCACCATCCAGCACTGGAAGAGGCCAGAGAAATCTCAGTGACACCTCCAGTTCTCCAGTTCCCAGGCAGCTTTCTACCTATGATCTCACTCCCCTCGGAGCTCAGCCAAGCTGGCTTCATGCAACACAGTGTGCCTCGAGGCAGCTTTAGTCTTTATTACAAGCCTTGTCATATTTTATGGGCTTTGGAAATTATGTTCTTCCACCACTTCACATAAACCTAGTTGCATAGCTGCGTTCTCATTGTGCATTTTTGTAGTGATACAGATAGGGCTTCATTTATAAAATCATGAAATCCAATTAAAAGCCTCAAAATAGCAAACTCAAACCCTTTGTCTCAGCTGCAAGAAGATATCAGGGACTGCCAGAAGAGAAACCACAGCTCAGGAGTTTCTTTGCTGATTTCCTCCTGCCCTGTCCGGTCATCCCCTCCCTGCCCAGGGACCCACAGCAGATGTGAGCACAGGTCCCAGCAGCAATGATTTACCCTTGTTGTCTGCCATCTGTTGGTTCCCCCTCCTTTTGGAAGCAGCTCAGTTCATGTCATTGTACAGCATCAGTTTCAAAACCCAAGACATCAGCAGCTCTCAATTTCCATTAAAAATGTCTGATATTCAGACTCAACTCTGGCCATTCAAGTCCACTGTTGGATGGGCTTTGAAAAAGGTCTCAGTCTGGGGACTCATGGAACTGCCGAAGGGACTAAGTGTCCCATCTGTAATCTCTCCTTCAGACTGTCCCAGGAAGAACTGAGACACGATGGTACCAGGGCAACTCTCCTTTCTATGCAATATTTACCAGTTCCGCATCCACATGCTTAGCTATAGTAATCTGTTGCACTCACAACTTTTGCAATCCACAAACCAATTCAGAAGAAAATGCCCCCGAAAATGAAGAGCTAGTGGCTAGGGTATTGTGCACTTGCCACTGTGGATTCATTTAGCTTTGATTTAAAAAAAAAAATCTATTTCCTGAAAAGGAATGGATACACAGTGGATACACAGTGTTAGACCATTACTGGGCCCTCCTGTTCTCTCTGTTTTTGTTTCTTCTGTTTCTGGGGTGATTTTAAGGAACATGTAAGTATCTGTCTGGGGTTGCAAGTAAGCTTAACCCTACAACAGAAACCCAATAGCTTCCTGTCTCAGTTTCTGCAAACCAAAATAGCAGAGTTAGAAAACAAAGAAAAAAGCCATTAGCTCTCCCCATGAGTTAAACAACACACAAACCTCAAGGAGGTACATGAGCAAAGATAAATGGGCTGTTGCAGAGTTCATCTCTTTTGTTTGTAGTAAATTATTGTGTGTAATTCATGTTTCCTGTCCATAAATGCCAGAGGAACTTGAAGGCTTGGAACCCATTCTAATTTAGTAAAGACATAAACAACCCCTCTCGAGCCCATCTGGAACTTGTTTTTATCATAACTGTTTTGGGCTCGGTAACGAGTTCAAGATCTATCTGCCCTCGCTAATTGTTTCAAGAATAAACAGACGCTTTGTTTAAAGGCAGCGGCTCCCATTTTGCCCATCACAGCACTTCCCTGGGGTTGCGGGGTAAAAGGATCTGTGAGCCAGGTCAACACTGGCCTTCAGGAGCGCTCAGCGCCCTCAGCCAGAGATGCTCACACCCCTCAGTGCTGATGGGGCAAGAAACCAGCCCCTGGACACACACTTGAAGAGTGTCCGCCTGGTGACGTGCGCTCTCTGCTTTTAAGACCATTGGCATTTTGTCTGTAAGTTCGTCTGATGACCTTTTGTAGCATGTCCTACTGTGACAAGTCATTCCTGGCTTGAGGTATGCACCTCCCTCTATCTAGGGTATGTGGCGCTCAAGGGGAGAGAGTTCATTCCTTACCCACCTAAACCCAAGCCTCTTGCATAGGCTAATGCTCCATCCCACCCACGAGAGCAGAGCCCCAATTCTTTTCTTAATTTGAAAACAAAGATTCCCTCCCCCATTGCCCACCCTGAGCCCCACCCCTGTAGGATGTGAGACCATGTGAGCTCTGCACAAGATCTGACCAGTCCTAGTGCTCCCCAGGACCAGCCAACCCTGAGATCACTGCTGGCTCTGATGTACAAGAGGTCCCTGTGTGACTAGGGATGTGCTGGCACCAGAAACACATTTGGAAAGCAGCACGTTGCTCCCCCATAGGTACACCACAACAGCCAGAGGACCCTTACTGTAAAGATTATTTCAGCGCTCTCAGACTCAGTCCTTGGTGCGATGGACTGCATGCACCAAGAGCTCCAGATCCACCACAATGTAGTGGCTAAGTGTTTCTGCTTCAGCTTTGGAAACACGACTCCATGAGCCCTCTGTGCACAGATAAGCTCTGTAATCGTAACTGCCTCAAGCACTTAAAATATTTACTTTTCAGTGTTTAATGGCCACATATGAATTCTTTCTCCTTCATTAAAGGTTTTCCTATCCCAAATCAGCTAGCTGTACAGTTTGGTAGGTGAAGGCAGGAGAAAGTCAATCATACAGATCTGGATGGGGTTTTTTATATTTGTTTGTTTTTTAGAAAAAAACCTAAGAATTACACTTAGAGCTCAGCTCTCAAAGGACTTATGGTTTGTGCAGGGCTTTGCTGTAAATTGAAGCTTATGTAGTTTTATATTTCCTATGTCTTGTAGTCCAAACATATAGTTCATACAACTTTATTTCTGGCATATCATGAGAAAGAAGATTTCACCTAAATCTCCTTGACCAGAGTCCAATGACACATTGAAATAAAGCACCTCTTCCAAAGCAGCTTGTGATCATGAGCTGAAGACATCAAGCATGAGAAACTCTGTCTCTTTGCATGGTTACTTTTTCCAGTGCTTAATCAGTCTTGTTAAATTCTTCTGCCATGTGACCTGTCCTCTACACCATAGGTCACCTCCCACAGCTGTCAGTGGGGAATATCCTTCAAGGGCCTTTATTTTGTAACATTCATTTCATAGCCATTGTGGCCAAATCAACAACTGACAAGCAGTGCTTGTTTCTTATAGAAAGACGTCTATGTTCAGCTGCACAATAGCACACATACAACTGAGCATGTTGTCAGCTGCTGAAGACCCATGCAAGGAGTAAGAACTGGTATCGGTATTTTATTTTTTACCAGGAGCAGGACTATTTGTCCTAACCCAGGTGTCTCCCCATAGGCCAGGGGACAGCTGTTATTAAAAAAAAGTATATTTAAAATGAGTTTTAAATAAGAAATCAGGATGGGTTAGACACTCTGACACCCCTGCACATATCTTTCTCTCCTCTGAGGGGAACATTCAGGAATATTTATTGCCATTTGGCGGGGTGTAAACACTCTTTGCTTACACTCAGGAACAGAGATTTTGTTCAGCCAAGCAGTTGTTCTCTCTGGCCTTCAGTTTAAAGTAAGCCCCTGCACCAGTGTATGAAACAAGAGATAAAGGAAAGGGAACAGCTCAGCCGCTGCATGACCTACAGCTCAGGGTGGTCTAAGAAAAGATTTCAATTGTTTTTAGTATTTTAGGCTTTCTAGGTTTTCCCAGAGAACCTCCATTGCTTATCAGGAGGATGAAAATGTAGGGTGCTGATCCAACAGACAGAAGATAGAGCCGTTCCACTGATGTCCAAAAATCCTAGCTGGCGAGTGAAAGCAGCTAAGTTCCCTTGGCAGCAGAAACCCTCACGTCCTCAGAGGACTCAGCTCCCAAGCAACATTTCATGCATCTCTTCTCCATGGTCTGGAAAGCATCCCAATGACTTTGTGTGGTAACAGAAGCTCTGTCAGCATTGGGTCCCTGCCCTGAGAAACCTCTGCAATGGAACCCACTTCCTGAAGTTCTTATACGGTGTCTCGAACTTACATAAACGGGTTTTTTTAATGAACATTACTGAGCTGCTGGAAGTCAGAATAATGGTGTCACAGCAGGGCACTCATTTCCTACCAAGAAAATCCCTTTTAACGGCTAAATTCCATAAACATTGCTTTCACCACAAAAACAGCAGATTTGCTGGTGGTTTCATGAGAAAGCTGCTTGTTTGTAGATGATGTTATTTGTCTCCTCCTGCAGTTTGAGTGAATCCTGCAAGAGGAAGGACAAATAGGCAAAGGTATTTTGTGTTTCACTATGATGGCCCTTACAGGAAAGAGAGAATGCCTCACAGAAATCACCAGCTTGGGAGATAGCCAGGAACCAGTCAGAGAACAGCTCTGAATCTCTCCTGTGATTTACAGCCCAACGTTTGTAAGGAGAGTTCATCCTGTAGACCCAAGCCTCAGAGATGGAAATGGAGCCCCTTTTGTCCTCCTGCAGTGTAACTGCAGTTGGTCTAGGGGATCCTGGGGTGAAAACACTCTTAAAATATAGGAACTTTTCAGCACATGGCAGATAAAAGAGCATATGTTGATAGTCTTTCCTAATGGCAGGATTACTACTTATTCCTGCAGTCAGCTAATTACAGGTACAGAGTGCCACCACATTCTCCAAATAACTACTCTCCCATGCTAATGGCACCTTATTTCACCTTGATGATGACAGGTTTGAGTTCAGTGAAAAAGTATTTGAGGGAAGAGGGTTGTAGGTCCCTGTGGTGGTAGTGCTGGATCTCTGCCCGTTTAATGTGAAGGCTTTCAAACCCTGGAGTCAGAGTAACTGCCATGAGGTGCTTACACCCTGGTGATAGGCTCTGTGACTGGAGACTTCCCCTCACTTATACAAACTGGGACTCTGAAATTGTGAGGACCTCTCCTAAGGACTGAACACCAGGAATGCTGATTTTTGCAGCAAGAAGCCAGTTAGAAACACAACCAATGTGAATACCTGTCCACAGCAAAGCATGGCTCACATAGATGCTACATAGGAGAAGAGATCTATCCACCCACTCTTCATCAACGCTGTTACTAGAAAAGACAAAGAACAACACCGAGGAATCCCTAATTCTAGTCAGTCTAGTCTCTGCACAAGTAGAGTCTCTGGCCACAACTGATTTACACCCTTTCTGGAAAAAGTGAGGACTGTGAACAGCCTGTGACATAATCCATGGTATCTCACTGCCCACCTGTGAGACTTCACCTATCTTCTGCAGCTGTCATAAGCTCACTTTGCTATTTGCCTTCTCTCACCAGAGACTGCTATAAGCAACTGCTTCACTTCAGTTGCACAGCTTTCAAGATCTCTGTTTTAACCCCCACATTAAAGGATGATGGAAAGAAAGATGACGAGAACCTTCTGCCTCTCCAGCCAGGTCTGAGACAGCTGGAGATGCCTCTGGCAGTTCCTGGAGAGGAATGGGTTTTGGAGAGGCAGGAGGTTGCTCTGCACAGTTCAGGGAAGGTAAAGGTGAAATTAGCAGCAGCCTGAGGAAAGCCCCTTGGGAGGCTCAGCAGAAGCTGCAACACATCTACAGACAGCATCTGCCCCCGTGCCCTGGTGTCCAGTACCTCTAGGATTCCCTTTGAACTGTGACCAATATTGCCTTCATCTTCTGTTAAATAGAAGAATGTGCACATATTTGCCTTGGAAAAACAAGGCAAAGCAATGGTCCAAGCAAGCAGTCCTTGACCAGGTCATTGTAGAAAGATATATTTCTGTGTTTGACCACCAACAGAAATGAGAAAGATGCATCAGATTCATGATGTACAGGCACATGGAACGGACTGAGACCACACTGCCTGGATGAGCTGCATTCCTTTGCCTCTTACCCAGCTGCAGACGTGCTTCAACATGTTGGCCTCCACCTAAGGCGCTAGAAATGGAATAATCCCCATCTACCCCAAAGGCTTCTGTGACACATCACAGTGACTAAACAACCAGGGACACTCCACCTGCTAGCCACAGGCTGAAACTCCTGTACGCCATCACCCATGGGGAGGAAGACTTGCACTTGGTGGTCCTTGCTGCCAGCAAGCAGCAGTCCCTGCTTATGTGATGCTAGAAGAATGGAGAAAGCTCTTGCCTAATACAGAATATTCGTTTTGCTTCCTGGACAAGATCTACCCAAAACTAGTTCCATTCAGAATAGACAGTAGGAAGATACTTTTTTAATGTCTTACAGTTCTGGATATATGCCGCCTAAAATATGTTTCAGTGGTTATTTTAGCTTTTACAACTATGTACACTATTTTCCCAATGAACGAGTGGATGGTGGTTGGATTTGCTTCTCTAAGTTATCTTCTGGGAACTTGCTGGAAGTAGTCCTCCCCACCATACACCACAGGCAGCAAACTGCTGGCACGTTTGAGTCAGAGCCTAATACAGAAACTTTGTACTTCTCCTGCCACTTAGTGGCTGAAGCTGATGCAGCACTCTGTAAACGCCTTCCGCCTTACACAGACGCGCATTTCCAGGTAAGAGTCCTGTGATGCTGAACAGGTTTGTATTTCTGCTCAGGTGTAGTAAACTTGACTAGGGCTAGAGGGACGTTAAAAAAAACAAAACAGTTACACTTATTTTGAACACTTTGAAATCAGTCAAGCCGCTCATAAATTGCACTCTGCAGGATGAAAGGACGTTAAAACACTATCGTTACACCGAAAGGCCAGATATTATGTGAAACAGCAGCTCTGCTATTACTGCCAGTAATGATACTCCTCTATCCCCACTGGGCCCCATCTCTGGGATTCAGGAGTATGCACCATTTCCCACTGCCAGAGATGTCTTTTACAGAAAGAAGCAACCTCCCACTGCTGCCTTGCCATCTTCTGCAGCTCACGTGCAAAAGGCAGCCATTTCTGGAGCGATAAGCAGCTGCCACGTTGGCCAAACACGCTGCACAAGGCCTACCAGCTACTCTGTCCTGATTCAATGATGCTGGTTTAAAAGAAAAGAGTGTAAAACTCACACCCTAGTGAACGATAAGCCAAAAGACATAGATGAAAGGTCGCTGAAGAAGCCACTATTGCAGTGGAATGAAACCTTTTTTACTCATTAGAATTTAACTGGAGCCTCTCAGGCAGGTTTCTACTGCATAAAGCCATTTAATTTTTAATCAGGATTTTGAAACAGAGCTGAGTTTCAAGGAAATTGGCTGTCAATTGCCACAATGTGACATAAATCCATTACATGAAGGCTCTTCTACCATGCCTATATGAACAAATACGATGGAGCTCAGTTGATTCCTTGATCAGTATCTCCCAGAGTACAAAGATATTTATAGTCCTTGGTAGCATCGGCCCCAGCTGCCCTCAGAAAGGAGCTCCTTCTGAGGCTGTAGAGAGAACAACACTTAAAACCAGACACAGTGTAGGATAATGCTGGGCATGAGGTTGTTTTAATCAGATATTCACTCTTCTCCCAGCAGCCCACCATCCCATACGCACCTCTGCGCTAGGTTTACTTGCAACTCTACATATTAAACATTGATGCAATTTAGAAACAAAAAAAGTCACACTGCATAGGTAAAAACAAAGCCCTCTGCTTCCTGTGACATTAAGGCTGGAGATGATCATTCAAGGACAAAACAGAGGCCTGTAAACATTGCTGGTTGCTCTGTGCCAGCCTATGGAGAGGGAACAGGATTGCAGTCTTTTGTGTATGAACATACAGTACCTTGTCAGCAACAGTTGAATTGCCTGTATGTTACCAAGACATAGACAAGAAAACAGTGAAGAGGCTTGCCATAACGGGCTTTTGGGGGCTCATTCCTGTCACTGACAGGACAGAGGGAAATAATCTGTTTTGTCTTTTAGATCCTAGGTTGAGTCCATGACAAATAGAATCAGAAAAAGCTTTGGTTTCCTTCTGCTTCAATCACATTCAATTAGACAAACACTACAGGGGAACTGTGCCAGGTGCTTCCAGAGGGAATTTATTGCTGTAAACTACACTGACCTTCAGGAGGATTTAGGCAGCTCTGGATATCGCAGAATCATTTCCCTAAACTGTCATGTACTTGCAACAAAATTAAATGAACTGCCTCTTGCTAATGATCATGCAGCCCTGTTTGGAGAATGTAAATCAGCTGGCAGGACACCTGCCAAGTCAAGTGTCTTATCGTAATGTAATGGATGACTAAATACACATTCCAGTGCTGGAGATTTAAATAATCCTTTAGGGCACAGCTGAAAGTACCAGAGACTTTGGCAAACAGAAGCAAACCTACCGAAGAAGATGAACAAGCTACAGAGATTGGTAAAAAAAATCTATTTTACTATTATTGTTGATGGATCAAATTCTTATTTTAATTTTAGCAGGTTGCGTGAGTACTAGCAGGTACTTACAGAATTAAGTTCAAATTCTCAGAGTCCCTGGGATAAAGCTGACAGACTAATGGCTCTCCTGGCAGCTCAGTGCCACCACAGTGGCTGGGACAACAGTGCAGAAGCTGAGCACTAAGGAAGTTTTGGGAAGGTAACACTGTAAATACAGCACGGCTCTAAGCACAGAACTGTTCGATGGCTCTTGAAGGGAGAAGCAAAGCACCTTCCCTGAGCCCAGAACCACGAAGGAGCTCTGTGATACGGGAGCTGATAGGTGACATACTCCATAATGAAAGCAGGGAAATTAGCCGGAGTGATGTTACATTTGTAGCCACTGCAATGAGAAAGGAGGCCAAATGCCAAATGTAGGGAGAGGAAATCTCTCTACACCTCTCAGCTGCACACCTGGTGCAAGTGGGAAGAGCAGAGGTCTCAGGTGCACAAGCCTTAGCTCAGTTCTCAGTAATGAGACAGTGAAGTGATGCAGCCAAGGGAAGTGTGAGTGAAATGCAACTGCTTCTAATGGGGACAGGAAAGGGCTCGCCCGCTTGCAGGGTTGCAGCAGCCCAGCTTCATCTCTGTCCTGAGAGAATATCCTGTCTCAGGCTGTCACAGAAGTTATTTACAAGAAAAGGCTTTGAGGAAAGAAAATACCTGAGATTATTTGAATCTCTGATTTTAAAACTATTGGGAGACTAGCCTCGATAGATGGCTCTGTAAGAAAAAAACGCATAGAGCACAGAGGACTCCCTGGCTTTGGGTTGTCTGTCTTCTTCCCAGAGTCAATAGTGTCACATACATGTAGTGAGACAAAATTCAGCCTGAGGTGCTCCGCGCTGGTGATCAGTAGCTCTTTGAGCCCCATTGCCCTGCAGAGCTGCCCCCATGGGAGGGTTTTGCAAGCAGGAGACTGTTAAGGGCTATCCTGGGCCTGGACCACCCTGTGCAGGAGGTGTCAGGCTGAGAGCCTGGCCACAGGCAGCCTCAGGGTCCCCAGCAAACTCAGGATGGGCTTGAGACATGGGCCAGCACTCCCAGCCCAGGGACAGCAGGAGGGCAGAGCTTGCCAGTCACAGCATCTCACATGCAGAAGGGGAAAGTAAAGGCACAGGCACAAAACAGGCGTGAGCTGATGAGGACTGCAGGTGACATGGAGACCAGCCAGCAGCATGGTGTGGTTGCATCAAGGAAGAGGCGTTCACCAACAGTGGGATGCAAACGGAGGACATGATGGTGGTGCTGACCCTCAGCTGCACTCCTCTGGTGAAGCAGCAGGTCAGTTTGGAGGTGATCAGACGCTGCAAAGTGTCCAGGCAATCGTGGCAAGAATGACCTGAGATTTACAAACCTGACAGAGGAGGAAAGGTCAACGAAACTGTGTTTCTGCAGTTTCTACACAGAGTCCCTGACTCTCCACAGTTAGCCCCAGTGTTGTTCTGCTGTGAGACACACATTCGTGCTATACACAATCAGGGCATCGTAGTGCAAGGGGAAAAAAGATGCATGCTTTGTGTTTGCAGACCTCACACAGCTCTCATACAGTGTCAGCCAGGATGGCTCATCCTACGTCCCTCAAAAACCTGGCAAGAGACCTCACTTTTGTAGCAACACCTGCTCCCAGATGCTGCGTGAAGCAATCCCATTCCCTTGTGTATGCTTCTAAAGGCAGAATACCAATGTTTAAATGGCAATATAAGCAGTCGGCATGACAGATGAAGAAATAACGTCAGGGAGACACAGAACACAACATAGGACCCACTGGCTGCCACATATTTCACCCATATCATAATATTAAAAATATAGACAATATTCTGGCTGAGTAAGAAAATATAGACTGATAAGCACAAGAACTTGTAGGAACAATTGTGTACCGAGAAAGTTCAACAGGGAGACATTGTTTGCTCTGTACAAAATGTGAAGCAGCATAAGAAAGGGTCTTTGTTTTAAACTAAAAGGAAAGGAAAAATAAGTATAATTTCAAGGAAAAGATAGAAGAAATAGCATGCTGATGAATCAGAAGCACACAGGATATATATAGCCATGAGAAAATCCCCAATGCTACAGGAAATCTGTCCAATAGAGCTTAGACAGAAATGGGACATAAGACATAAACTTTTGGCAATGTTCCTTGAATAACTCGTCACGTGAATCCAGATTTTTGAAATGAACTGAATTAATGGAAGCAATAACACAAGTCTGTACCAGTATTTATTGTTGTTGCACACTTTTAAAGCACACAGATATTAAATGAAAGACACTTGCAGACCTCTGTCCAAAAGCTGTCCCAAATGCTATGTGAATGGCAATGAATTATAAATATTATTTTGCAGTAGTGAGCCATGTAGTTTAAAAATTTGTATTTTTTTCCATCTTTGGCACCTCCTATTTTATGAAGATGTTTCTAGCCTCTTCTGATCTTCACTTTACACTAT